GGGGGAGAGAAGAGCATTCCAGTTAGAGAGAACAGCATATGCAAAGGCCCTAACACAGGACCAGGCTCTACCTTTTGGGAAATGGACTAGGATGTCTGGAAGTCAGCTCTGTAGTTGCACAGAGATTCCCAGTTTAAAAAATATGGTAGCAGCTTTATCTCACTCAATTCTCACTGTATTCCTGGGAAGAGAATGAAGTGGAATTATGATCTTTTTTACCATTGAGAAGCCTGAGGCTTCAGGAGGTCCCTGTGTTGACCAAAGTCACATAGCTTGGGGGTGACAGAGCTGAGGCTTGAACCCCAGTCCTCTGATTTCAAGTCCAGAACTCTTTCCAAGTATGCCCTACTGCTCCTCTACACGACATCTTAAAGGGGTAGAACAGAAGTTTCTGGTGACCATGGACCAGTATTTAACACAATATGATCATCCGTCTCTTGCTTTCTCGGGGAAAGAGGAGCACCTTCCTCACAGTTTCCAGGTGAATGAGTTTAAGCGTTCTGGGAAATCTGAGCACTGGGGCAGCAGGGAACCCCAACGAGCCACAGCACAGCCCGCAGTTCCCAGGTGCTAGCTCCCAGGCCTTCCTGTAGGCTGGGTGGGGAGAGGCGCCCCATGGAACCAGTCCAGCGGACCATGGGAGAGAAGCAGGCACAAGCGCCGCAGGAACATGAGGGCTGAGGTGGTTTCCCCTCAGCCGGATCTGGAGGGAGAATCAGCCGTGTCATCAGATAACGTAATGCCTCTATTAGACTACATCGCCACGTCTCGACCCGACCCCCAGATGCTCTGCAGGGCTGGGAGCTGTGAGGGAAGCTGTGTGTCCTCAGCACACTCTTCCCTGCTTTGTAGTGGAACTAGAACTAGATAGGAATAGCTCAGGAAACTCAGCCCTTACTAAGTGCCAAGGGCCAAGCTACGCGCTATTCTTCGCTCTCCCGGAGCATTGGGGGCCAGTCTCCTGGCAGGCCCTGGCTGGCCCCAGCGCGTCCAGCCCTTCAGTAAGTCTGGCGAACGAGGAAAGTTAGACACTGATACTGCTGCAGGTAAGAACGAATTCGATGAGACGGGGAAACTCCATCGCCAGGCTCCAAGCGTAGCAGGTGCGTCCTCCTGCGGAGATCCTCTTGAGAAGGGCCGTGGAAAACTTCTGGGCAAGAGAAATTGTTGATTTTCTTGGCTAATGGGTTTCAAAATTAATCTCTGAATTCTGCTTGCTCACCTTTTTCAGTGTGTGGGTATCACAAACATCATCACGGCATTCACAGAAATCAGAAGCGAAGACATTTCTTAATGGTCCACAAACCTGATGCCCTCCCCCAAGTCAAACGGGCTTTTTTGGCCTCTCAGTGTTTTTCTTACTTTCTGGGTCTCGTTCACATGTGTATTATATTATCACCTCCTCCTGGAAGCACCTTCCCCTCTCACCTTCCAGGACACCTGCCTGCCCGCTCTCTCTCAGCCTCACTTGCCGGCTCCTCCATATCGTCCCAACTGTGGCCCTTTTCTTCTTCATCTGGATTCAGTTCCTTTGTAACCCGAGTCCTGTGGCTTTAAACGTCACCTCTAAGCTGACAGCTACCCAGTTTATACCTCCTGACCTCACACTTCTCCTGAGTCCAAACTCACGTCCCCACCTCCACTGGGATATCTAATTGCCATCTCAAACTTAACATGTCCCAAACCTTTTGATTTTGTCCCGCCAGCCTGCTCCTCCCGGAGTCAGCTCCATCGAAGTAAAGGGCACAATCACACACGCCATCGAGGAAGCCCAAGCCCTGGGGTCTTCCTTGACTCCTCTTCCCTTTGCCCTCCACGTCCCTCCATCAGCTGTCTGTTCAAGTGGATCCTGAATCGGGCCCCTCTCACTGCCTCCGCTGCACCCACTCTCTCCAGTCCCCTGCCCTCCCACCTGGGCCACCGCCACAGCACCCCAGTTGGTCTCCCTTCCTGCTCTCTCACCCCCACAGGTTTAAAGACTTAAGTCAGACCGTGTTACTCCTCCGCTCGAAACCCTCAAATCACTCCCATCTTCCTCGGAGTGAAAGCCGTGGTCTTCACCATGACCCGACCACCAGATCCCACATCCTCTTACCCCCAGGCACTCACTCAGCCACCCCGACCTCATTACTGCTCCTCTGTAGCCTGGCCTGTTCTTGTATCAGGACCTAATGCTTCCATCTGGAATGATCTTCCCCAGACCTTGGAAAGGTTGGGTCCTCGCTTTGTTCAGTGAAAACCTCACCTCCCCTGAGTGACCTTTCCAGACCATCTTGCTCATGAACGGCCTCAGACACTCCTACCGTGCCTTACTGTTCTCCACGGTAATCATCTCTAATTGAAATTAAGTTACATATTTGATCACTTATTCCTTTTATGTCTCCTCAATGAGAAAAGAAACTCCATGAGGCCAGAGACTTCCCTGTCTTCTCCAGTATTGCATCCCCACTGTCCAGATCAGTGCCCGGCACATAGAATGTGCTTAGTAAACGCTTGTTGAATTAAAGGATTTGCTCTTTTGCCAAGTCTTGAGAATTACTCCTTATCAGTACAACTCCACAGTGTCACAAATGGATTTTTTTTTATTTCAGCATATTATGGGGGTACAAATGTTTAGGTTACATATATTGCCCTTGCCCCCCTCTCCCCCTCAAGTCAGAACTTCAAGCATGTCCATCCTCCAAATGGTGAGCATCACACTCATTATGTATGTATATACCCATCCTCTCCTCCCCTCTCCCATCTGCCCTATGCCTGATGAATGTTATTCCTATATGTGTACTTAGATGTTGATCAGTTAAAACCAAAAAAATAGATTTTTTTAAAAGATAAAAGTAATTTTACCTTTCAGTCTACCCCTATAAGCACAAGTATTATAGTATGTGGGCCCTTCCCATCTTTAGCTGCCCTCACAGGTTTTATATATCATCTCAGCTAATTCCAAAATCAGGCTTCTACTCAGAGATCACTTTGTATCTCACTGTGGTCCTCTTTGCCGGGATCCCGCTCTTCATCCTCTGCGCTCATGCTGCCAGGCCACTTGCTCTCAGAGAGGCTGCACAACCCTATAAGGAAGGGCTGCATCTCCCTACCAGTGTTTAGAACAGAGCAAAAGAAAAAGGGTTAAAGATTCAGAGGATTCTCTTAGACCCCATTCATTCATCTCTCAGTTGTTTCCTGAGCCTCTGATCGGTGTTGGCAACTGTGGTCATTTTGTGGCCATTGAGGACACAAGAATGATGTCACTGTCCAGTTCTCAAGGAATTCAGACTAATGGGAGAAAGAAACATGCAGTTGGCCAGGGAGTGCCATGTGACCAGTAGAGAGAGCTCCCAGATTCCAGAGGGGAGAGGGACTAACTTTGTGCAAGGGAGCAATGCATGGCGGCATGGCAATGTGACCAGCATGGCGTGTTTCGACATGAGTCCGTATTCTGTGTGGCCAGAGCTCAGGGTACCTGGAAGGGAGTAAGGTAGGATCATGAGCAGCATGAGACAAAGCAAGAAAAGTAGACAGAAAATAGGATGTATGGGGAATGGAATTTGGACTTTATTCCAATGCTATTATGAGAATTTGTTTCTAATTTGTTTACTCATTCATTTATACATTTAGCTGATGGATTTTGAGCTTCTATTACATGCTAAGCACAATGCTGGGCTCTGAGCATACAGTATTTAATAAATAATCATTGTCCTTGCTGTTATAGAGACAGTAATCCGTGGGATTCAAAGGAAGGTTGTGTGGCAGCTCCTGCCCTGGAGAGCTATCTGAATAGGAAACTTTATCACAGCAAAGAGTGGAAATGATTCCACCAACAATAGGTATATATTTAAGCAAATCATGGAACACTCATGTAATAGAATATTAAGTAGCCATTAAAAATGATGTTTATATGGCCGGGTGCAGTGGCTCACGTATGTAATCCTGGCACTCTGGGAGGCTGAGGTGGGAGGATTGCTTGAGGCCAGGAGTTCAAGACCAGCTTGAGCAAGAATGAGACCCTGTCCCTACTGAAATAGGAAAATTAGCCAGGCGTGGTGGCACATGCCTGTAGTCCCGGCTACCTGGGAGGCTAAGGTAGGAGGATCACTTGAGCCCGGGAGTTTGAGGTTGCAGTGAGCTATGATCATGCCACTGCCCTCTAGCGTGGGTGACAGAGTGACACTGTCTTTAAAAAAAAAAAAATGTTTGTAAGCATAAGAGGAATATTAACATTCACGATGTTCCTTAGTAGCATAGGAGAAATACTTGTGTTGCTCCCTGGAAAAAGCAGGGTTAAAATGTATACAGAGTGGTATACATCCATGAAGAAATACAATTATAAAAAAGACCATACAATATATAAAAAGTTTAACTATGGCTGCCTCTCAGAGCAATTTTTTTGACTACTTTGGACTTTTTCTGTACCAAAAAGCTTTTCTGTTAAGTACGTATTTGCTTTCTCAGCCCTACATTTATTGTAAAAGAATGAAGGTGAACAAAATAAGAAATAAACATTGAAGGAGGGGAAAAAACAGAACAGACATGTGTCTACCTGGTATGATTTAGCCATCATCACCCCTGGAGGCCTGGGCTAGTGGGGGACTTCTTGCTGTAGGGCCATTCCTGCAGGATCCACGGCTGGTCGCTTCTTGGTCTCTTGGTCCATGGAGAGTGTAGCAGCTGCTGTCTGTGGGGTGCCCACAGGAACAAAGGCAAGGGCACAGCAAGCACTCTGGTTGGTGCGGAGCCCTGCTCCCACCGGGCTCTGATTGCTCTGACCTTGGATGAGTCAGCCTCCCCTCCAAAGCAGCTCTTTCCCTGGCTGCCCACCTTGGAGGAGACTTTTAAAAAAGACACTTCCAGGAAGCAGGAGGAGGAGGATCCTGGCTGGAGGGGAAGCTGATGCTCTTTTTTGAAATAAAGACACACTCGTCTCAACATCCTGTTTTTTTTCTCTAACCTTCAGCCTCTTCCAATCCTGCTAGCAACTAATTTTTTTTTTTTCTAATCTCTTCCAGGAAATGATCGAAATGGCCTAGATTTCAACAGGCAGGTAAGAACTTGGATCAGAAGAAAATGTTTCTTCTGTAAATTTTGGGAGTTACCTATAGTAACCCAGGTGTGCAGGATACAAAGATTAAGTACAGTGGGGGGTGTTTATTCATAAACTCCAAGCTTTCTGGATTAAAGGACCCTGAGTCTAACCTCCCACCCCAACCCATGATCCAATGTCTCTTCAGCATCCCCCTCAAAAGAGTTCTGATAAACGGACACTCGTTTAGGGTGCGCTGCATGCCAGATGCGATGCAGAAATCTAAGACGACAGCTCTTCTCCTGTCGAAGCTTAGCCTGCGTGGACTGTGTACAGAAGAATTTATGGAGCCATGAAGGGTGAAGTGCCTGGGTTTCCTCAGGGAATTCCTGATTTAAAGGAAGAAGATAGGGAACATAACAGGAACAACAGGAACAAGCAGAAAGAGGTCAGAAGGAAGCATGTAACCAGGCTCAGGAGGACAACGCAGACACAAGCTTGGTGCTCGGAAAGGAAACCGAGTTGGGCGGGGTTAGGCTTAGCTAGGGAGGCTAAGGGCAGGGAAGGTGGTGTTGGAAAGATTGCGGGGTGGATGGGTGTGGATGTGGAGAGAGAAGGGTGCAGCTGAGGGACCCTGAGGTTGGAGGCTGATGGGAAGACCAGGGGGTGGGAAGTGGGACAGGGGATGACGTCTGAAGCAGACGGAGGAGTAGGAGAGTTTGTTGGGAGGAGAAAGTCGAAGCTGGAGCCAAGCAGGAAGCAATCATGGGAGATTCTAGAGTGAGGCAGAGGGGTAAGTATTCGAGTCAGAAAGCCTGGATTTTGGTCCTATTTCTGCCCCTAACTAGCTGTATAACCTTGATCGAGTTATTTAATAATTTTGGTTTGAGTTTTCTCAGCTGAAAAATTAATCTATTCCATAAATTTGGCAGTCGGGGGTGGGGGGGCTATACTATGCCAGATGTGGGAACAGGAAGAAAATTAAGACACAGTCTGTGCCCTGAAGGAGCTGAAAGTCTAGTGTGAGGAGAGAGTAGGGTATATAGAAAGGCGGAGAGGGGATGGGGAGAGAGAGACTCTTAGGTGAGTGATTATAATACGATCTCATGTATGCTTTACTAGAGATGTGTAAAAAGCTGGAATCAGACAGAAACGGGAACAGTTCATTCTTCCTGGGAGCTCAGAGCAGGCTTCATGGAGGAGGGAATATTTGACTGTAGCTCTGAAGGATGAGTAGGAATTTGTTAGGCAAGAAGAGTGGGGTGGAGAAGGGGAGAGGGAGACGGCAAGAGGGGAGGGAAGAAAATGCCAGTGTAGGGTTGCACTGGGTGGTCACTAGGGCTCCTCCCCTAGATTCTGATATTCTGAATCCAGGTGTAGATGGAAGTCTAGGATGGGGCTGGAGGTCCAAAGGCAGACTTATGTTCTCCTCTTTATCTGTAGGGTGATTTGAAGTCAGCATTTCCTAAAAGGCTGTTAATTCTGGGTATGTCCTTCACAGTCAGAGAGAGGAATAATCCTGAGTCCTAAGCCAAAACCTCTTAGGCAGGCAAATTCTGCAATTTTGTTCATCAGGAAGGCTGAGAAATTTGCTAACAAATGAAGGCCACTACTCTCTTTCTCCACTTGAAACCTAAAACAGAGATAGGCTTCAGCTGAAGAGAGATGTGGGTTAGCTATGGGGAAGGACTTCCAGTCAATGCAATTTATTAAACACTGGAACAATTACCAAGGGAGGAAAACTCTAGAGTCAGCTTCTCACTCAAGGTCTTTAGACGTCAGACAGATTCTTATCTAAGAGGTAATTTGGCTCGGTAGGCTTCAAGGGCAGAAGGATGGAGGAGATTCCTAAGGATTCTGTGATCTGATCCTAAGCAGGTTGGGGTGTGGCCTGTGCCCTGTGCTTTCTGCCCCGAGGACTCAGGATTCCCCAGCCCAGGGCCCACCTTTCCCTGCGCCAGGCCCTTGGACGAGGTGCATGGGGAGGAGTCTGTCCCACACCGTGGCTCCAGGGTGTCCTACGCCAGGACAGCCCAGCCAAGAGGTGGCCAGCTCCACAAGCCCCATGGGTTGGGCTGCTTGTGTGATCTGTCTGAGGCTGCTTGAGAACCCCGCATGCTGGAGACAAGGCCAGGGGCAGTCTGCAAGGAGGCCCCTGACCCTTTGAACATCTTTTGGGGTGTGGTTTCCCCACAGATTCTGCCAGGAGTGGGCCTCACTCAAGTTTGTTTCCCTTGGATGAGCCTTGTGGGGTGGGTTGTTCCTTCTTTCCCCTGGGAGGGGTTTGGAGCTCTCATCACCAACAAGAACAGACATGACAGGTCTCTCCTTTGAAGAGGGTGGGGGGAATCTGGGAGGAAGAGACACTCAGCCCAGTCACACTCATGTACACACTTATCCTGGAGCTCTCCCCTGCTCACGTTTGTGCCAGCTCACCTGCAGGTGGGCACCCAGGACTTCTCCGGCCCCAGCTTGACAGTCATGCCCTCACACTCTTCGGCAAGGGGAGCGAACCAATGCTGGCTGACCGCCAGGCTCTGAGCAAAGTGCTTTCGGCACTGTATCTCATTTAATTTTCACTGTAAACCAGCAAGGGAAAGGTTGTTATTCCCATTTTACAGGTGAGGAAACTGCATCCCAGGCAGCCCTGACTTTTTCAGTGAGGGATTTGAGAGATTAAATAACTTGACAAAGGTCACACAGTTGTTCAGCTGGCTTGGCCAGGATTTGACTCTTTTTTTTTTTGTGGTTGTTGTTGTTGAGACAGAGTCTTGCTCTGTTGTCCTGGCTAGAGTGCCGTGGCATCAGGCTAGCTCACAGCAACCTCAAACTCCTGGGCTCAAGTGATCCTCCTGCCTCAGCCTCCTGAGTAGCTGGGACTACAAGTGTGCACCACCACGCGTGGCCAGTTTTTTCTATTTTTAGTAGAGACGGAGTCTCGCTCTTGCTCAGGCTGGTCTCAAACTCCTGACCTCAAGTGATCCTCCTGCCTTGGCCTCCCTGAGTGCTAGGATTACAGGCGTGAGCCACCACTCCCGGCCCTGAGCCAGGATTTGAACTCGTGCCTCTTTGACTCCACAGCCCATTTTCCCATGATGCCTCATTGCACCCTCCCCTTTCCCTGTATGTGCACACTGTCCTTGGGGAGAGGCCTGGGAGCCAGAGCCTGAGCATGATCTCACCGTGACTAACTGGGAGGAAATGGGAGGTAGAGGGAGTGGAGAGGGCAAGAAAGAATGGTGGGGCAGGAGCAGCCTCTGTGTCTGACACAGACAAGGGGTTGGCAGAGACAGGGGGCAAAGGAAGAGCCCCTGCCACGGCGAAGCTTGTATTGGAAGGCCCCAAGCCAGTGCTGCGATTGGGCGTTGCAGCCAGGTGCTGGGTAAGCTGCAGTTTTAAAGTTGCATGAGCAAGGAATGCTGGCTCATCAGGAAATTTCCATGCCGGGCCTGGTAACTTCCTGGTCCCAGGAAGGCAGCCTGAGCCTGTTTGAGGGATCACTGTGGGAAGATCAAGGGACTCTCAGTCCCTGGGACAGATGAGGCAGAGTTGAGAGGCAACAGGGCAAGGCCAGATCCCTGGATAGAGACTCGGAAGGCCTGAGTTCCAGCGCCGTCTGCCCCTCACTAGGTGCTGTCCTTGTGCAAACCTCTGCTTTCTAGGCCTCCCCTTCCTCATGCATGAAATGAAGAAGTTTGGATGCGATGATCTCCAAGGCCCCATACACTCTGTTCTGTGTGGTATGTAGGGTACCATCACTCTTCTCACGCCGTATTTTGACTGGTTAGTTGGACCCTGATTTCCACTCTCCTTTTTTTTCTCTTTTCTTTGAAGAGAAATGAGGAAGAGAGTCACCCTGTGCTGTAGGGAGTGAGGGGAACTGTGTCACATGGAATCTTTCCAGCCTTTATGATCTCGTGTGATCCAACGAAAAGAATCATTTGAAATATAGGGGCAGAAATAGAAGGACCCAGCAGGCCAGGTTTGGGGCCATCCATCCATTCTTTGAATGTTTAGCTGCTCTTAAGTGCCAGATGCAGGGGCATCGCTTGTAAGAACCTAAATTGCAACACTGCATGGCGAATTCTGTAAGAGTTGGAAGAATGCCGAGTCTGGGATACTGCTCGAGGACATCACAGACGGGATGGTGTCTGAAGCGGGTGGCAAGGGAAGAGCAGGGCTTTGACTGGCAGAGAGGGTCGGCAAGAATATTCCAGGCCTAGGAGACAGTGCGTACGAAGGCTCGCTGTTGTGCAAGGCACGGCTCTGGGGGAAGTGTGAGAAGAGCAGCGTGGCGTGAGTTGGTGGACTATGAGGCTGGGGCTGTGGGTTGGGCCAAATGATAAGGAACTTCGAACACAGAGCGAAGAAGGTTGGAGTTTATCCTGTGGGCAGCAAGGAGGCATTAGGCGTTTCCGCACACGACTGGTTTCACTTAATGGAGCACTGGAGAGGGTGTGGGTGAGGAAGGAGGGGAAGGTGAATGAAGGAACGCAAGGGCAAGGGAGGCCCGATGAAACGCTCTGGTGTGGGCAGGCGCGGGCAACGCTAAGGACCGGGATGTGGCAAAGAAGTTATGCACCAAACTGAGAGCCAGACTGCTGGGTTTGGATCCCGGCTTCTGCACCACTTGACTATGGGACCCTAGGCAAGCTCTTCAACTTCTGTGTGTCTCAATCTCATCTGTAACGTGGGAGAATATGGCATCCATCTCACAGGGTGGTTGTGTGGGTCAGATGAGAGTGTGTATATGTGTATGTGCCTCTCAGACAAGTGTGTAGAACATACTCACTGTATCTGCTACTATTATTACTGTGTCAGTAGGCTCTAAGAGCGATTTCCCAGATAATATCAGCAGGATTTTGGCAATAGGTTGGACATGGACAGCAAAGGAGAGGGAGGAGTCAAACATGATTCTGAGATTTCCAGCTTGGGATGCTGAACATCAGTGGGACCTCAACCAGAGACCAAGCAAACTTGTCCAGATGATGGGAGGAGAAACAAGGGCAGGTAATGAGCTC